CCAAAACAGTTGGTGTTGATCAGTTTGGTAGTTCATGCTCAAATATTTGTTAGTTTTCTTTAAAGTTCTTGCAATTTTGAATGCCAAAACAGTTGGTACTTGGTAGGTTAAAACATGTGATTTTTTTAATAGATTGTTGAAACTCACCAATGATTAGATCAAGATTCATAAGAGTTGCAATTGTTTTGTGATTTTTTTACACAATCGTGTTTATTCAGTACGTTGAATTTGGGTTGTTTGATTATCTTTTTACACAATTGTGTTTATTCAGCAAGGTAAAATAGTAATTTTTCATCAGTCAGCACATTCAGTCAGATATACAATCAAACATAATGGTTTCTTACACAGTTAGTGTGACATCCCAAAAGTTAGGTCTAAAACTGTAGACAGACAGTTCACCGCGAAACTCTTTGTAAATTGACCTATGAAGCTTAAATGCATATTTTGAAAAATATATAGTCTCATTACAACTATTATAAGATACCAGCTGGTATCTTACTTCCATTGGTGGAAAATCTCAAATGAATCATAAAGCACAAACTGCAACCCTAGTTAATACGTCTGAAAAACTAAAAATTTGTATTAAGCAGTTGTGAGCAAAAACACACATTTTAATTTCATAGTAAATTTTCCCATGTTTTCAAAAATATAAAAAAAAATACATCCAAGACGAAGGTCGTATGCAAAAGATACGACAATTATAAGAATACAAACCAACAAACACTAATTTTCTTTAAACTGCTAAAACCGAATCGATCCGTCGAGGCAGTTGCACACCTCAGATAGAAATTCCGAGAGCGTTTCTGGACTCAAACTATGGTCTAGTATTTAATTCCATACTTGAAATATTTTTAGCAAAAATATCTGCAAAAGTCGAAAAATCGGATGTTTCAGGTCAATTAGACACGAAACTTTAAACCCGATTTCCTAGAGTTCTACAACTCGAAAAATTAATCCGTTCGAGTTTTTGGAATACTTGAACTCTACTCTATCATACGTCACTTTCGAAAAAAAAATATTAGACCTCGGGAACTTGGCACACAAACAGGGTCGGGCCAAGACGACTGGAGGCCCGGGGAAAAATAAAAAATGGGGCCCTTCAAAAATTTTATGTATTCGTATATTACACTGTTTTATACATATAATAAAAATATGTTTAAATTTGTACACCATAGGATGGGGAAAACTAAAAGTACAATGCTATTAGAAGTACAAAAATATTAAAGTCTCATCCCCTTTGTTTCTTCATTAACTTTTAGAGTCTAGTTCTGTTTCTGTACACAAGTTGTTGCCCTCCAACTGAAGTAGATTTATCATCGACAAAAAGTTGTTAGGCGAATTGCTTAAATTGAGAGTACCTATTGTTGTTAATAACTTGGAAGTAGTTGAAAAAACTATACAACAACAGAAATTTCTATACACATCAAAGACATAGAAATAAAAAGAGTAACATTTCATAAATCAAAATTAAGAATATTAACATTACAAATCGAAATAAGCAATGGAGTTCAAGAACTATCTCTAACTCAAAAATATTAACATTCGATTATGCCTCTAACTTGAATAAGCTCATAAAAATCAAATTTCAAAAATAATAAGAAAATTCAAGAACAATAGAACATACAAAGATTCATAGTCAGATTATCAGAAATCAATTTCACCTCTAACAGTCTCTTCTAAAATACTGAACCTTCAAATTTATAGCAATTAAGAAAGAAATTCAATTAAGGCAGTGACTGGAACTCTCGATTCAAGTCTCTAGGCCAGATTCCTAAAATAAATCAAATAACTTAATTAACTTCCCATTGGTGCTATATCAGAAAAAGAAAATCGACAAAAAGAAGGGAAACAATAGAGTTTTCCGTTTTCTGAAATCGTGAAAAGAACTAGACACAATCAGTCTCTCAGTTCTAAAATAACATTCAATTCACTAATGGTTGTTGTGGACGAATTTAGAAAATTAGAAAAGAATGAAAGAAATCAATTAACTTGAAATTTTGAATATGAAATAGAAGAATGATCATTAACTCTTGCTTTTGGAGAAGACGTCATTTGGATTTTCCATGGCAATGTTTGGATTTTCCATAGAAATCTAACTGTTAAAGAGTTACAATGCCTTGGAATTCGTATGCACGCCGGGTAAGTATCATTCTCTCCCACACTCCATATTTTGGATTAGTTCCTGATCAAAGTATTGAGGTTTGAAGTAGTCCAATGTGCTAAAAAGTAATGGGTTGTTAACATATAGCCAAAATAACAAGTTAAAAATTGGAGCACTTTGGCATTTGAAGGTCCGGGATGGTCACCCAGCTTGCCCAGACCCATGGGCCGGCCCTACACACAAACCTAGGTGTGTTTTTGGGACTTTTTGAGAGTGTGACATCACCATGGTCTACCACCCTTATAAGAGTTAATAAAAAAAATAAGCCAACCCTTGGATTTCCTTCCTCCCCACTGTTGGATCTATATGTCTAAGAATCATTATAGAGTGATATTGCTAATAATATATGATCTTATAAGATCACACCTTTATCAAGTTAGCACAATTTATATATTTATTTACCAAATATTTTACTAACAACTTTAATTTACCAAATATTTTCGAAGTTTAGGAAGAAAAATCAGGAAAGAATATCATACTATTCAGGAAAGAATATCATACTATGAGCATAGACAATATGCTATGCACATCTACACCAACTTTAAGAAAAAAACATACAAATACTAAATATGTGAAGCTTTTTGGACTGTTACACATGCATCCACTATACTAAGACTTAAAAGAAAATAAGATTGATCTACACAACTAGCTATGATCACTTGATTGAGGACTTTCACGTGTTTGGATGTTTATCTTATGTTCATGATCGTATTGAGAAACATGATAAGTTTGGTACCGAAAAAAGTCAAACTTCCTGATTTTTTTTTTTTTTAATCACCTCATCAACGTATTGATTTAATACCACCATTCAAAACCATTTACAAAGCATATTAGTTAAAATCAGAAAATATAATGATCATTATCACATATTTTTATGAATGTATTTCATTGAATTTTAACTGATATACATTGCCAATGGCTTAGTATTGTTGTATTTTTGTTGATTTTTAAGTAATATATTTTACAAATGGTTTAAAACTATTATATTAAAGTAGACTATTAATACAATAATTCAAACAAATAAAAAAAAAAGTCACAATATTTTAAAATGGTCCCAATATAGTCGTTAAATTTGTATTTCACTGTTCAAAACTTAGGATTTTGGACTGAACTTATGTTTTTTAGTAAAGCATAAGCACCAAATTATTAATTTACTCTAATTCTTAATAAACATATCAATCATTCCTAATTTAATAATACTCATTCAAATATTACAATTTTCTATCTCTTCCAAAAAGATAATCAATCGCTCACAAGCTAATTAGCAATCAATTCGGTCTTTCGACTTTGATTTTGACTTATCCAGTTTAAAACATCTGAACAATCCTCTTGGTTGATGAAAACCCTGTATTATATGTTTAATGTCAATTTATTTATTTAAAAAAAAAAATAGTAAAATGATTTTTTCTTTTACTAAAAGATAGAAAAATGCAAACCCTCTTTCAGTTCGATAGGTTTTTAGTTGTGAGATTTCTCGTCGATCCGACATGTCTTTTTTCATTGCAAGTGATTTAGGGACTATCAATTTCTTGTTTTCATCATGGTATGAATTATATATAAAATTAAGTACTTCTTCCTGAAATTAAATTGAATTTAGAGATTAAAATATTGGAAAAAAAATTAATAAAATTTTAGAAGATGAGTCATACGAGGGGTCTTGATGCATCAATCCAATGATATATCGGCTCATTGCGAAACCATGTTAATTGTCGTTTTGCAAAATTCCTTACAAAAAAAAAAGGAATAAAAAAAATAAGGAATGTTAATTAAAAAATATAATTTTTTTTTTGAAGGAATCACCTTGATGCTTTTTGAAATTCAGATAAAAACGCATAAAATTCACGTGTTGAACTTCTACCCCCTTGTTCTTCACACTTTAAGAGGTATTCCATAGCCTACAATTTTCCATTATATTATATAAAAAAATAAATGAAAGCCAAAAATAATTAAAAAAGAAAATAATAACCACATATAATATTAAATTAAATACCTGTCTATAACCTATTGCTCGTGTAGCTGAATTTGAATTTGGTTCAAGACCCAAATCCAGAAGCCATTTTGCCTCAGATAAAATTCCATTACCTCCTAATTACATAACATAAAAAAAAAAAAAAAAAAAAAAAAAAATCTTTATTCTTTTAACAAACCCAAAAGCTATAAAAATATAACTCACCTGAAATCATATCTTCACACCGAAAGTCAATTGACCTATAAAGATCTGTTCTTGATGTTGAAAGAAAAAAACAAATGAACTCATAATCCAAATCCTTTTCCTTTTCCTTTTCATCCAAATTAGTAGAAATGTCAAGGTCAAGGTCAAGATCCGTTGACTTTGACCCCTTTTGTCCCTTGAAAGAATCATAAGGTACTGGAAATGCTGATGGAGGTAACCCTGTAGACTACAATACAAAACAATTTACTTTAATTTTCACCCATAATAACAACTTATTACTCATAAGATTCATCATCTGCAATTTGCCTATTGATGAACATTAAAAGTTAAACTGACCTTAATGATTTCAAGCTTACGATGTAATCGATACCAATCATTCGAAGGTAAAGATTCAGCAGTTGGATCACCTGATTTAGCAACAAATTTTACAGCAGAATCCCAATCATAGTTTCTGACAAAATCAGAAAGCAAAGATTGCACTTCTAAAGTAATTTCTGGAGTTGCCTTTGGGACATCTGGTTTCCCATATATAAACCTTTCACATGATTAAACAAGTCTTTAGAAAAAAAAAAAAAAAAACAGTATTAACAGATATGAAAAGGTTTATATGTATTAGAATATACCATCTTAAGTATAATCCAGTTCCTCCAGTAACTATTGGGACATGACTTCTATTAAGAATATCTTTTGTAGCTTGTCTTCCATCATCATAGAAGTTTCCAGCAGAATAATCTGGTTGAAAGAGATAAAGATGGTTAGTTTGTAGACTGAAACAATGGTTTACAGCATTTAAGGGATAAATACCTTCAGCAGGGTGTAATATGTCAATTAAGTGATGTGGCACTTCCTGCAAAAAATCATAACAGTTGAATGTTTGTGAACTATGAAAGTGTTGATGCAAAGCTACAAATGAAAACTATGATGCCAGATGTATGCATTTGAAGATAAGGATTGTGATTTGTGAATGTGTTTCAACTCAATGTTACCTGTCTTTCACTTGTAGATGGTTTTGCAGATCCAACATCGAGACCTTGATAGACCTGGCATGAGGAAGAACATCACAAGTGATTACGAAATTGACCAATTGAGTGTAGATTTCAACGTCCTTATACTCAATTCGACGATGAATGAACACCAATTTAAGCTTGGATCATGTTATACAGTACACAGTATCAAGTTCGTATATGTCATCATTGATTCGGAGAACATAAGTACAACCCTATTTGTAATTCTGAAATCACTTCGCAGCTGAAACTAAGATTTTTCTACCATTTTTCTCATCAAATACTCATTTTCCTTAAGCAAATCCAGTGAACAGAAAGGATTGACGATTGAGAAGGATTGATACACTAATAAACTTCGAAAGTCGGAATTAGATAGAGCTAATTCTGTACATACCTGGACAGAGTCTGCGCTAATTATCTCGCCATTAAGCTTTTTAGCGAGCTCTAATGCGAGCCGGCTTTTTCCGGCGCCGGTAGGACCAGATATAACAATGACTTTCTCCTTCTTCGGCTTTGCGGAGGCAGAGCACTGGAAGGTACTAAACAGTCGTATCCGGCAGCACTGGCGACGGTGGACGAGGAAGGAGAGGGCGGAAGGAGAGAAGAGAGATGTCTCCGCCGGTGCATACGACAGCCGGAGGTAACTCATGGTAAACCTTCCGATAACGGTATTCATTCGCCGATACTTCCGCCGTCGTTACATTAGCAATGCGTATTTGAAGAAACGCCAATTAGATAAAGGTACTCAATTCTAGAAAATATACTTTTACATATTTACAGTATATTAGTTTTTACTTTTTTACTGTTTTTTTTGTTTACTTTTGTTGCTGTTTTGCAAACAGAATGCTAGAATGCTGAGTTGAATAGTTCTAATATCATAATTATCTCTAAATAGTATTAAGGGATAATGACTTGAAAGGGTAACGAACTTTCGATTTTTTTCACATTTAGTCACTAAACTTTTTTTTGTTATCTATTTGCCATTGAACTATTGAAACTGTTCACATTTTACCCTTATGACCGGCTGTTACCGGTCATAAGGGTAAAATGTGAATAGTTTCAATAGTTTAGTGGTAAATAGATAACGAAAAAAAGTTTAGTGACTAAATATGAACAAAATCGAAAGTTCGTTTCCCTCTAAAAAGTTCAATAATTAAATGTGAACAAACTTCCTCTTGTATTATGTTTTAGCAAATTATTTATTTTTGTTAAATTGTAGCAACATTTGTTGATGAAGAAATCTATGAAATAAAAAAGAAAACAAAACCCTAAAAATATATTAAAAAAAAAAAACAAAACAAAAAACCGAAACCGAAATAAAAAAACCAATGGTTTGACATTTTCCACAATAAAAAATCAAAATTTTCAATCTGATTTGGTTTTATAAAAAAAAGGAACCATTCTCACTGATGTGAATTAGACCATTGGTTAGACATGCGGAATTTGTGACATCCCATGAATACGTAGTTACAACATCGTCTGAACTCGGAATTCATAGTAAGGAGTTAGAGTATCATCGCATGAATACGTAGTTACAACATCGCCTGAACTCGTAATTCATCACCTACAGGTTATGGGCCAGCTGGTGTTTCCACTGGGTTGTCTAGAATAGTCTGTGGTCGTCATTTATACTTTGGTAGATGACTACATCGCCACATTGTCGGTTAAGGTTATGGTATCTTCTTTCATCCTACATCACCTATTCATCATCATATATTTACCTAATTATCATCGCCTTTCTATCATCACATATATCTCATCATTTTATTTCATCACACACCAACTATTTCATCTACCCATGTTTCATCCGCAACATATTTGTAGATATAAAATAAATATACTGTTTAAATCCTTTAAAACATGTATAAAATCGTTCATCTAGCATAGACAACAAGTATTTAAATAATATGCACACATAGCACGTAATTTATATAAAATACTTCATATCTATGTGTAAGATGAAAGTAACTATATATACCATAAAAATCCCATAAATGCTTCCTAACTTCAAACCCCAAGGTTTACTCTACTAAAGATTCATATTCTCGGCTCTCTGGACCTAGAAGGGTCTACATTCCTAACTTCAAACCCCAAGGTTTACTCTACTAAAGCTTCATATTCTCGGCTCTCTAGACCTGGAAGGGTTCAGATCTATAACACAAACTTGCAAGAGGGGTTTGAGGCATTCAAAACCCCAAAGATGAAGTGATTCAAGTCCTAACCCCAAAATGGAATCTACATAATAGGGAAGGAAAGGGGTTCATTTTTGTACCTCAGAATGAAGCTCCTTACTTGAATAACTCAGAACAATAACCTTCCTTGGTCCCTCTTGCTGGAACTCTTCTCCTTTCTTGCAAAATCACACTAAAAATCTCAAGATAGCTCTTCCTCTCACTCTACACACTCAAGCTCGCTAGGGTTCTCACTTATGGGAAAGGTAGTCGCAACTGAAGGCAATAAGTGCCTTTAAATACGGCTCGGACCCAAAGATTTAGGGTTTCTGCCAACAGCATGGACTCGTCGAGTCGCCTCACCGACTCGTCGAGTCCATTCATTAATCTGAGTCATCAGTCGTGACCTTACTCGACGAGTTGAGGCGTCAACTCGTCGAGTCTCTCTTCTTAACTCAAAAGAAAAATACTTAAATTATGATACATTGAAATCCGGATGTTACATTTTGTTTTTTTGTTTCATAGATTTCTTCATCAACAAATGTTGCTACAATTGAACAAAAATAAATAATTTGCTAAAACATAATACAATAGGAAGTTTGTTCACATTTAGTCATTGAACTTTTTAGATGGAAACGAATTTTCGATTTTGTTCACATTTAGTCACTAAACTTTTTTTCGTTATCTATTTGCCACTAAACTATTGAAACTGTTCACATTTTACCCTTATGACCGGTAACAGCCGATCATAAGGGTAAAATATGAACAGTTTCAATAGTTCAATGGCAAATAGATAACGAAAAAAACTTTAGTGACTAAATGTGAACAAAATCAAAATTTCGTTACCCTTTCAAGTCCTTATCCCTAGTATTAAAAAAGAAACCATGCGAAATCATTTCTATCTTTTCCATCTACATGGTCACCGATATTATCATTGTAAATTTTCTTTTATACTCCCTCCACCAATTTTATAAAATCTATTAATAACAGTTACTTTTAATATTAGGAAATCTATTAATAACAACTAGAAGGTAACCCCGCGTTGCGGGGTTCGAAAGGCCAACAGTATTTGCGATCTAAAAACCCTGCTAAACATTATCACTCATTAAGTGGTATACTTTTACAGATGAAATTGTCCATTCCATTCCAAAATAATGTGTAATATGCTTGAACTTTCAGAAGATAATGATTTAACTTGTAATGCTAAAGTGGATAAGATGGTAATAGGAACTGCTTAGAGTGTCATTATTGAGAACTAAGTAAATAAGATCAGAAAATTAATGGAAGTCAAAGAGTATGGTTTCAAACTTGAATCATGAACCCAAACCTTTAATTGCATATTGTTACCCACATCCACTTTTAGCTATTGCCATAAAAGGTTAAACATAAAGAATGTAACTGTATCCATTATCCAATGTCCCAAGCTAACCTCTCAATGCTAGCCTAGAAAAGGTAATAAAAATTACAATAACCTGCATCAAAATAAGTTAGAATTACAAATATACCCCTTACATAACAGTGGGCAATTGTTGGATTGCAGTTACCAAATATCTCATCCTTCTCAACAAAAGAAGTTAGAATTACAAATATGTCCCTTCATGCCAATCTGAATTGCTGTCTGAGCATACAATATCTTGCCCCCCATAAGAGCTGCCTAAGGTAGCAATTGTTGGATTGTGGTTAGCAAAGATCTCATCCTTCTCACGAACCACTACCTTTGCTAAGTCAGGGGTGTTTATCAGGAAATGAAGTTTGCTTCCGAGCTGGAAGTTGAAAAAGGGACCATAAGTGTTAGCCTTGTTGACAAACTGTTTGTGCAGATCACGGCTAAGAAATGGAAGATACCCTACAATTAGCCACCATGATCCGCCTACCACCTCCCCTGGGACCTGCCACCTACACCTGCCTTCATTCGGCATGCCTTTGCCCCAACGGCTACACAATCCATCACAAACCCGCAACGTACCCTCATACCGGCACTCCCACAACCCAACCCAACCCAAATCAAAATAGTATGAAACAGAATGTATAAGTCATTTATCTTGGAGGGAGGTACTCTTAATGGAAATACAAAATGTCGTTATTATAACGCCCCTAGATTCGGGCTAGTCAATTTAGAAACGATAGATGTCAAAAAAAATGAATTTTTGATGAAAGATTATTTAGAATGAATAATCTTAACTAAGTTATAGTATATGTTACAAGGTTTCCGTGCATATAAAGAACGCCGAAATCCGAGTTATAACGAAGAAGTTATGACATGTCGAAGTTTCGCGACAGAACCGACACGACGTTGAATGACGTAAAAATTGAATTTACGTTAGAGTGATATTTAGCCTTATAAATCTAAATGAAAGTCGTAGAGTTCGTTAAACCATGAGCGTGCATAAAAAGAACGTCCAAATCTGACTTCGTATGAGGAAGTTATGATTTTTCTAAGTTTCGACTTAGCGGTATGCAACCCGAATACTCGATTTGAGATCGAGCGGTTTTTAGCCGAAACAATCTAAATGAGAATCGAAGGTCTCGTTAATAGGAGTAAAACGAAAAAAAGATAGGCGAAAACGGACGTCGGATAAAGAAGTTATGATTTTATAACGGAGTTTTCCTGTCCCGGCCTACTAAAAATAAATAATAAAAATAAAGTCAAAATTAGCTGACGCAGTCTAAACGAAAGTTGTAGAGCGTATTCTCACCTATGCAGGGATATAAATAACGTCGAAAACGGAGTTCGTATGAGGAAGATATGAATTTTTGAAGTTTATTAAATATTTTCGATATATATATATATATATATATATATATATATATATATATATTATATATATATATATATATATATATATATATATATATATATATATATATTATCCAAAAGGGGGGGAGTCAACGTTCTTATCCCCATTACGCCCAGCGTAATTTAGAATTAGACCCAGCGTAATTCGGGTTTCCAACCCCCTATAAAAGGAGGTCAAGGGCAAACAAGTTATTTGCTCATTTCTTCCATTTTTCTCGCGTTTTTGCATCGTTTTTTGTGCAAGAATTATCCCGAAGCCCCGGTATCATTCCCGAGCCCCGAAGCATGTACCGAGGCCCCGAAGATCCCGAGAAGTGCGATTCCCGAGCCGAAGGTCTGCCCGCGAGGAGCCCGGTTTTTGTGAAGATCTTCCAAATCTACCGAAGAATACTACTTCTACAAGTCGTAGTGCTGTCCGATCATCTTCTAACCAAGTGAGTGTGTGGTTACTTTCTTCAAACGCATAATTATGAAGTATTTTATACGAAATACGTGTTATGTGTATAATTTTGTTGCTATGTGTGTGAATGTATATTCACTTTCTTCTATCTCATAGATCTGATTTATTCTCTATGAAATACGTGTTATGTTGGTGTGCCTCATCTGTTATGTGGAATAGATATTGAATGAGAATGTTATACAGGTTGTAAACTATGTATAAAAATATATATTTTTATCTACTAATATGTTGGGTAGAACATGGGTAGATAGTTGATGTGTGATAAACAGATGAGAGACCCCGATGTTGTTGTTGTTGATCTAGTTATTCAGTGAGTATGGATTAGACTAAGAGGTTAGATTTAGATCCAGGAGTATGGATCAGGTAAAGAGATAAAACTTGTTATTAGTCCGGGAGTATGGATTAAGACTAAGTTAATTGTCCCTAGTCCGGGAGTAGGGATTGGGCACAGTTATTGATCCGGGAGTATGGATCAGATCAGGATTAGGGTATAGTTAATTGTCCTTATTCCGGGAGTATGGATTGGGTACAATTGTTGATCCGAGAGTATGGATCTAATCAGGAGGTTAGTTTTAGATCCGTGAGTATGGATCAGGTGAAAAGGTTAGTTTTAGATCCATGAGTATGGATCGGGTGAAGATAATAGTTTTAGATCCGTGAGTAGGGATCGGGTAAAGAGGAAAATTTTAGATACGAGAGTTTAGATCGTGTCGTTGTGAGGATCGATGAGGTGGGATAAGAGTTGCCTTTATATGGTGAAATTGTACAAGTTTGAATGCTGTATATTTATAAATATATGATATAACATTGTGGGATGAAAACCCTATATGCTCACCAGGCTCCCAAGCCTGACCTACTCAGTTTTCTTTGTATCACATGTATTAATACGAAGACATATTTCACAGAAAATTTAAAGGAGATATAAATCAATTGTGTAATTAAATGTAAGTTCTGTTTATGCTTATATGTCTGTATCGGAACATGACATCCCGAGGTTTTATTATTAAATGAAAATAAATTCTCTTTGAGAAATGTTTTGATAAGTTATTATCATATCTTGTTTTGGGAACAAATTCCGCAACTGTTTTCTTTAAAAGAGTACTCTGATTTTAAAAACAAGCATAAATAAATCGGTATTTTCTGGCCGTGAAAATGAGGATGTCACAATTATTCTCTTTATTCTTCCATTTTTATTTTTTTAATTAATATGAGAAAACAAAGAAAAAATTGTAGCTTTACAATACTAATTATTTAAAAATGGTCCTCATGATTAAAGTCTAAAGATTGAAAATATCACTAATTTCAAAAGGCGAATATTTTTAAGTTGTAGAAATTCATTATGTCTTTGCATATCCTCATCAACCTATAATCACAAAATATAATCCATATGTATACCCTTGAAATACGTCTTTCAACTTTGTTCCAAGGCGCAACAGTTTCTGCTTTATCCCAAGCTCATCTTCTTTATTCCATTTGACTGCACAGGTAAACATGAGATCCGTAGGTTCCATTCAAGCATAACATCAAACAGGTAGTGTGCAATTTCTATAAAACACATAAACTTTATATAATTCCATGAACAAAGACAAATCATTCAGATATGGTATCAAAATCAAACGATACACATGAAATTTGCCACTGAGAAGATGTATAAATTAAACAACAGCCATATAAGAAACCTTAAAGGAAATCAAGTACTTTCAGAAAGGTCAATACAAAGTTGAATATCAGCTAACTTCAACTACAAACAACAGCAAACACATATAATAATTAAAAACAATCATAAAAAAACAAAAATACTATCCCAAAAATCAAAATATACCATCACACAATTCAATATTCATGTTATACCCCCTATAGACGACCTAATCAGAAACATACTAAAAGAATGAAGAACAACCCAATTTGATATGAAAGCAAACACTTATGTGAAGCCCTTTTTTTCAAACATTTCCTCAAACACGTGGTATACATAGTTTTAGAGTGATTGGAGTGGGTTGTACCTGAAACTCCTTGTGAAATACCATCTAAAAGCGGATTTAACATAATGCTGACATTCATCCTTAATTCCTTCCTACATGAAACAACAAAATTGAGGCTTAAAACAAACAATCATGACAATATATATACAAACAAAAATACCAATCAAAAATACCAAAATTTCAATAGCAGTTTATATTCTTGACTTTTGTTCACTGTAACTCCCAAGAGTATTGAAGACTGAAACAAATATTCAACATCTTCCAATGGTCAAACAATTTCAGTTCACAATCGACTATCATCATTACTAACACATTAATTTGAAACCAAATCATCAAATTATGTGGTAGATTTCACTTGTTCTTCATATTGTTCTTTCAAGAAGCATTAATCATCAGAACAACTGACAGCAGAAGCCATGATAAATTCAACTCAATAGACAAAACAGATCGACATCTGTATTAGATTGAGAAGGAAATCCGGCAAAGATGCAGTAACGACATGAAGAAATATTGATGATGGCACAGAAAAAATATTAGAAGAAGCAAAGAATTCCTACAATGTTCGGAACACAGAAAGCAACCCTTTGCAAGCATCACTCGTCGCCACGAACGGTGCGGCTTCTGTTAGCAGAGTCGAAAATTTTAATGTGCAGATTAATGAGATAAAAAAGCGGGGAAGCGATGGTATACTGGGGGTGTCGTTCTTTTTCTACTGGAAACCTATCATACATGATACATATAGTTGTGATAAATATATAGTACATTAAAAAAAGAAAACAAAATAAACTGATACACATATGGTTGAAAATATTTTTTTTACTTTGCCTTGTATATAACTCTGATGCAGTAAAATGGTTGCCTTGTAAGTTTCTGTACACACAGTCCTACAAAACTATAATAATTAGCCTAAAGATTAAAGAATAAGACCAAGTTGAAGTAGAAAATTATGGAAAATGTTAATACTAAAGAATGAGGCTTGTTAAAGAGATCACTTATTCCTTGAAGAAATTCTATAAAACACATAAACTTTATATAACTCCATGAACAAAGATAAATCATTCAGATATGGTATCAAAATCAAACGGTACACATGAAATTTGCCACTGAGAAGATGTAGAAATTAAACAACAGCCATATAAGAAACCTTAAAGGAAATCAAGTATTTTCATAAAGGACACTACAAAGTTGAATATCAGCTAACTTAATCTACAAACAACAACAAACACATATAACAATTAAAAAAAATCATAAAAAAACAAAAATACTATCCCAAAAATCAAAATATACCATCACACAATTTAATATTCCTGTTATACCCCCTATAGATGACCTAATCAGAAACATACTAAAAGAGTGAAGAACAACCCAATTTGATATGAAAGCAAACACTTATGTGAAGCCCTTTTTTTTCAAACATTTCCTCAAACACCTGATATACATAGTTTTAGAGTGATTGAAGTGGGTTGTACCTGAAGCTCCTTGTGAAATACCATCTGAAAGAGGATTTAACATAATGCTAACATTCATCCTTAATTCCTTCCTACATGAAAAACCAAAATTGGGGCTTAAAACAAACAATCATGACAATATATATATATATATATATATATATATATATATATATATATATATATGTTGAACAGTCTTCATGACAATATATATATATATATATATATATAT